GCAACCCAGCATCTCTGAGCTAGCAGGTTTCCACCCCAGCCTTTGAATCTTGAGTCATACTTGTAAATAGAATGACAGAAGTTTAGTTAAAGCTGCATTTAGCAGCAGCAACAGAGCCTGAGCAGCCAGACCACTGCTAGAGAAGCAGGCCAGTAACTGCAGAGTTGCAATTGCTGGCTGAGATAGCAGATTAAGATGCAGCTACTGTGCTGAAGTTAAAACCACATACTTCTAACTCTTCCCACACAGTACCACTAACTGGGGACCAAACATTGAAACATATGAGCTTATAGGTGCCATACTCATTCAAAGCACCTCAGGTTCATTTTTGTGTTGGCCAATTACTCCTGGACATGGGACCTGCCCTAAAGTGTGGTGTGACTAATGCAGGGTTTGATGGAGACGTCCCATTTAGGACTGAGTGCTCCAAAGTCTCTCATTCTCTGCACATTGTTCTGTTGCAAGAGGCAGCTTCTCTGATGATGGCTGAGAGATGCACTGATCTATGAGGATAGCAGGCATCAATTTACTGCTATGCTCCTCTAGCAGAAAAATAGCAGGTTTCCCCTTATGCCCATGACCTATAGTCTCAGATTCTGGGTCACTTCAGCAGTGGCAGCAGATATGGGTTCCATCTCATGAAATGGACCTTAAATCCAACCAAAAATGGTGGGTTATTCCTGTAACATGGTGCCTGTAGGGCCCTGCATGGATTCCTGAGGCACCTTGAGCAAGCCTGAAGCTGTTGGCTGGAACATCTTGCCCCAGAGTTATTATTGGTGCTCTTCCTGTTTTCTTGCCCCAGGGTCGTTCCTGCTTTGCTAACACACATCTGCTGGGGAGGAGCTAAGCCTGAAAACTTGCACTCTTGACCCTGGGTTGTTTTCCATTGTGCTGTGAGTCAGTATATAAGCTGGATTCTTCCCCTATAACAGCATTTGACATTCCTGTTGAACGAATGACCAGCTGTCTTGTGTCTTTTTTCAATCTCTAGGCCTTTGCCCAATTAGTGGAACAGATTGTAGTTCAGGAGCTACAGTCAACTACATATAACCCTGAGCTCTGGAGGTTTTACTTGTTGGCGTAAGATGTCTAGCTAGGGCATTGTCTCTCCCATTATGTGGTGACTCCATTTAGATCCCATTCATATATGTATATAATTTAGGAAGTTTCTATAGTAGTAGGTTTCCATATGGTTCTTCAAAAAGCCTTTAGTGTGATGTTCCCTCTTTATCCTGATCTCCCAATCCCCTCCCCATTTAACCCCCTATTCTAGTTTCTTCTTTGTCTCTCCATAACTCTATATTCTATTTCCCCTTCCTTGAAAGATCTTCTCCTCTTCCAGACCCCTTATCTGGTGATAATGCAGATTATAGCACACATATTCCAAAACTAAAATAAATAAACTTTAAAAATTAGAACATGGACTCATCAATAAAAGATACTTTTACAAATGATTAGACTAAACTTTATGAAAGGCCTCTATCAGAAATTTTCAAACACTCCTCCTGAAGCTTAAAAATTTTAATAACTGTGAAGTTATACCATGTTCAGAAACTAGCATACTCCGCATTGTAAGAATATTATTTTTTTCCATTTACCTACAGGCTCAATATAGTACAAAATAAGTAATCTGTTGTATTAGCTGTTTTTTGTTTGTTTTTTCAAGATGGGATTTCTCTATGTGTCTCTGACTCCTGGCACTCGCTCTGTAGACAAGGCTGGCCGTGGACTCACAGAGATCTGCCTGCCTCTGCCTCCTAAGTGCTGGGATTAAAGGTGTGACCGCTGTCCAGCACAAAGATTCTTTTCAGATATAAGATATAGCTAAGTTTTATATTTAAAGCTATAAAAGACAAGCATAACGGAGGTAATGAGAAAAAGTGAAGCTTGAATGCTCTTTTACAAAGCATGTATTATTAAAACACTATGATGTTATGCAAGTAAACTCATGGAACAGAATAACTAGTCAAAAAGTAGACTCACAAGTTGGACACTTGGTTTTGACAACAGTGGCTTTGGAGAGCAGTGTGGAAAGGATGGCCTTTGAAGATGGTGCTGAGTCAACTTAATTTTCAGATGAGGAAAAAAGTATATTTTGGTTTCTTCCTTTCTATATTGATTCCAAACTGATTCCCAGCAGACTACATTAGTGAGGTGTGTCAGACCAAGTGTTTCCCAATAAGTTTAACTGAAAAAAAATCCACTATGAATAAAAGTAATACTATTCCATGAACTGGGTTCACAGTCAAATAAAAAAGAGAGAGAGAAAGTGAGGTGGTTTCAGCACTTGTTTCTCTCTACTTCCTGACTACAGATGCAATGTGAGGAGCTGCTTCAATGAGTACAGCCATGACTTCTACATCATGAACACAATGACAGTGTGTGTGTGTGTGTGTGTGTGTGTGTGTGTGTGTGTGTGTGTGTGTGTGTGTATTGGTAAGCTAAAATAAACCTTTCTGTCATTAAGTTGCTCTGAGTCATACTGCCTCCAAGTCTCTTGGTGCTGAAGCATACTGCATGATGTATCAAAACGAAAGACCAAGGGCAAGAGAAAGGGGTTAGCAATGAAGAGTGCTTGCTGCACAAGCATGAGAACCTGAGTTCAAGTCCCCAAGACCCACATAAAAAGCCAAGTGTGGTAGTGTGGGCCTATAACCCCAGAGCTGGGGCATAAAATGGACATGGACATACAAGGACCACTAAGGGGCTTGCTTACTGCCGTCCTACCTCTAAGTTCAGTGAGAGAACTTGTCTCAAGAGAATAAGACAGAGAGTACTAGTGCAGGCCACCTCCTCCCTCCTCTAGCCCCCAGATGCCCACAGGTAGGTGCACTCACAAACACAAATGCATTTATCACACACACACACACACACACACACACACACACACACATTAAAAATGCAATGATCATAGCTGGGTGGTGGTGACACTCGCCTTTAATCCTACTACCTAGGAGGTAGAGGCAGATGGAACTTGGAGTTCTAGTCCAGTCTAATCTACAAAGCGAGTTCCAGGACATCCAGGGATACACAGAGAAAACCTGTCTTGAAAAACAAACAAACAAAAAAGGTGCAATGATCAGCTGGATACAGCAATAATCCACATGAGATAGTTATCACAATAACTGAGCAATTAGGAGTATCTAAGTCCCATTATTAGCCAGCAACCAGTCTCTTGGTGCTGAAGCTGAGGAGTACAGCATTTTACAAGACAAAACCCATAATCACATCAATGTTTGAGGGGGATCAGCACTGCATCTTTTTGCAGAGCTTACCCCATGACAATTACTTCTGATTCGAACTTGTTAGTTATTTGAATTTTACATTTTTAGCCTGCACAAACATCAGTTATTCTGGTTCATACATTGGACCATGATCAGGATCACAGACAGTCCCAAAAGCATTGCTAAGATGTGACCCTTGGAGAGGGAGGGGAAGCTGTAGAATATGTAGGCACAAAACAGTCAGGACAAAATGGCATTATCTTAGCTATTTCATTGGTGCCTACCTGTAACCACAGCACTTGGGAGACTAAGTTGGGAAGACTTACAGGCCAGTCCGAGCTACAGTATGAAACCCTGTCTTAGAATAACCAAAATAAGGGCTGGGCATGTGGCTCAGTTAGTAGAGTACCTGCCTCAGCATGCGCAGAAACTCAGAGCCTATTCCCACCACTAGACAAACTCAATCCAATAATCCCAGCACTTGGAGGTGGAGGCAGGGGGGTGAGATGTTCAAAGTCATCCCATGATTTAGCTATTAAGAATGCATACACCTCTTTCAGAGGACCTGAGTTCATTTCCAGCAACCACCTGTAACTCCAATTTCAGAGAATTCAGCATTTCTGAGCTCTGTGGATATCTGCACCCACGTGCACAAAACCACACAGATATACAGGTAATTAAAAAAAAAAAAAGATTTAAAGAGTGCTTTTCTGCTCTTGTAGAGGAGTGGTGTTTAGCCTGTAATAACATGTCCACAGGATTACAACAGCACGTTCCAAGGAATCTCAGACCAGAAGCCTCCCTTGGCACCCACACACAGGTGGCATATACACTAATTAATAAGCTATGATAAAAAAAAAAAAAAAGCACACCGATTCGTGGAATTGGATTCCTGGTCGTCTTTGGGGACAGAGGTCAAGGCTATGCAGGTGTGTTGTGTTCACTTTGTTAGCATTCATCAAATGTCAGGTTTCTGATGCGAACTCCCCTGCTTCATACGAAGTTCGTTGCTGTTGTTTGTTCAAACTGGGTTTTCTCTGTGTAGCCCTGGGTGTGGAATTCGCTATGTAGATCAGAATGGCCTGGTATACATCTCACGGAACTGGCCTCCCAAGTGCTGGGATTAAAGGCGTTCCCAGCCATACCCAGCGTACAATGTGAATATCATTTAAGATTTATTTTATTTTTATATATGAGATTGCGGGTGTCCAAGGAGGTTAGAAATGGGTGAAGAATCCCCTGATGCTGTAGTTACAAGCAGTTGTGAGGTGCACAACTGGGTGCTAGAAGAACTTCTTTTGCAAAAGTCATTTGCAAAAGCAACAAGTGCCCTTAACCTCTAAGCCATCTCACCGGCTAGCCCCTCGATATCAATATTTAAATGTCTAAAGGCCGGAAGTCTCCCCTGAGGCTTTAATTGACCACACTAGCTAGGGTGTGGCCCATCTTAAGGCAATCCAGCGGACTGGCCCAGACTCTGTGGGACCCCAAATCCGGTTTAGGAACCTGAATCCCTGGAACCTTGCGGAGTCTCCTCGCCCTGTTGAATGCAGAAGGGGACAATCTCAAATACCCCTGCCTCGAGGTTCACTGAAGCGAGAGTGCCTCTCTCGTGCTCTTATCTTTTGGACACAAATGTCTGGAATCGGATTCTCCACACTCCAGGAACGCTCCAACTGAGACAAGCAAAAACGATGATCGCAATGCCCGGCGGTGTCTTCGATTGCTTTAGCCTGATGGTCGAGGTGAGCGCGGCAACGATTGGTGCTGTCTGGCAGCGCGGCGCGGTGCAGTCTGGGACACGGCACTGGCGGGAGGCGCACTCAGGTGGCCGAGGTGAGGGGGACTCGGCAGCGGCAGGATGGTGAAGCTGACGGCGGAGCTGATCGAGCAGGCGGCGCAGTACACCAACGCTGTGCGGGACCGCGAGCTGGACCTTCGCGGTGAGTAGGCGGAGCGCGGGCTGTGTCCGGGCTCGGCGCACGGCCGGGAGGAGAGGGCCCCGCCGCGTGCGCGGAGGCCGGAGCCTGGCCCGGGCTTCCCGCCAGGGCCCTTTGGAGCCGTCTGTTACCCGCTCCTGCTAGCAGACACGGCTCCTCGATTCCTTCCCGGGTGCGTATCCGGTAGGCTTTGCTCAACGTGTTCAGCAGCCAGCACTGTTTGAGAGCCAGGAAGATAGAAAACGGCATATACAGGACGGCGACCGGCTGGTTTTTAGCAAATGCGTTAATATGACACATGAGGGTAGAGTAGATATATGTCAAGGTTATCTTAATTATACAATAAATCCATCCCTTTTGGGTTTGTTCATTTGTTTTTAAGACAGGGTCTCCTGTACTCAGAGCTGACTTCAAACCGCTGTGTAGTTAAAGATTTTCTCCAACTTCCGACCATCTTAACTCCATTTCCTGGCGCTGGGTTTAAATGTGCCCCTTGTTTATATGGTGCTGCGGATGAACCCAGGATTTTATTCATGATAAGCAATCACTCGCCCCACAGAACCAGATCCCCAGCCACTTTTATGAAGGTGTTTTCTAGCTTGATCTGTTTGATTAGGGCTTATAATCATCACTTATGTGGGGGGTGGGGAACACTCACCTGTTAAGCAGAGCTTGCTTTAAAACAAAACAAACAGCGTTAGCTGGGCAGTAGTGGCACACGCCTTTAGTCCTGGCACTCTGAAGGCAGAGGCAGGCAGATCTCTGAACTCGAAGCCAATAAAACAAGACAAACGACAACAACAAAATATAGCATTGAAAGTGCAGTTACCAACTTTTCAGGAGATGGCTTTGAAGGGGGTTTGGACTGTGTAACTGTGACCTGAGGCATGGTCTCTGCTGCATCTCTGAAGACCATGCAATCTTGAGAATGCTTATTGTATTGCACTCCTTCATAACTGAGTTGTGTGCTAAATTTCTCTTCTTCCTTCGGCACCTAGCTCGATAATTATGCCCATTAGACAATCAAGGGGATGCTCACAGTGTGATTTATGTTGTATATACACCATCTTCTGCTCAGAATTGGAGCTGGTGGAGAGGAGAGTAAGTCAGGGTACCATGAGGATATACTGGTGACTCGTGAATGGTTCAGTATTCTTGTCACCAGTGTCCCAAGGCTTGGGCATTAACAGTAAGCAGAGTTAATTTGTCATGGAGCCTGATAACCTAAGGACTTTGAACAGTGTGAATACCTTGTAGATATTCTCATAAACAGTGGACACCAATATAGTTCCTGTGTTCTTGCCTTCAACCTCCTCTTTAGGTTTACTGCACGACCACACACTTAGAGGCAGTAAGGACCCTGTAACTCATTTGTCATTTATCTTCAGTACATTTATCTTCAGTATTGTTGTGCACCGTGTGATATGGCACCTGTGCCAGTTTACTTCTTGAATGAGTATTTTGAGTCTAATTACAATCAGATACTCCTGCTTTCAGGACCTTTCGTGTATATTAATATTTGTTGTGTGTATTTTTTTTCCTCTTTACAGGATATAAAATTCCTGTCATTGAAAATCTAGGTGCTACCTTAGACCAGTTTGATGCTATTGATTTTTCTGACAATGAAATCAGGAAACTGGATGGTTTTCCTTTATTGAGAAGACTGAAAACATTATTAGTGAACAACAACAGAATTTGGTGAGAATACTTTCTACCTTGAAGAGATGTTATAATGTACTCTGAAGACATTGTTTTGTTTTTTTCAGTTTTAATTTTATGTATATTACTGTTTTGCCTGCAAGTGTGTCTGCACTATCTATATACTTATGTGGTACCTTTGGAGGCCAGAAAGAGGGTGTGAGATCCCCGGGAGCTGGAGTTACAGACAGTTGTGAGCTATCATGTGGATGCTAGGAATAGAATCTAGGTCCTCTGAAAGAGCAGCCTGCACTCCAGCCTGTCAATGTCTTTTCTTAAAGGGAGAAATGAATCAAATACTTTTCCTAAGAGATTGGGAGATTAACTTGGGCATTGGTCTGACCTTACTAGCCACTCGTACTTGTAGTTAATACTAAACTTTGAATTTCAATTTAAAACATGTTGCTATGTATACATTTCAGATTCTAGAACAATTATCAACAGCATCATAATAAAAAGATTTATAAAAGCCAAGTGTAGTGGTGCCCACCTTTAATCTTAATACTCAGGAGACTGAGGCAGGCCAGCCTTGTCTCTGTAGCAGGTTCCAGCTGATGCTACATAGTTAGACCCTGTCTCAATAACATCTCTTTTTGTTTGCTTGCTTTTCAAGACAGGTTTTCTCTGTGTAACTTTAGATCCTGTCTTGGAACTCACTTGGTAGACCAGGCTGGCCTCAACTCTCAGAGATCTGCCTCCCTCTGCCTCTCAAGAGCTGGGATTAAAGGTGGGTGAGTGCCACCGCCACCTAACTCAACAAAATCTTTTTTATAAAATAAAACTACTTTCACTGAGAGCCTATATATACCTCATACATCCTGCTGTTTTTTCTTTGTAGTTGGCTCCTAGAATATAATTCTGTGAAATTAAGATGCTATTTGTTTTGTTTGTTTGAGACAGGGTCTCACTATGTAGCCTTGGCTGGAGACTACCTGGCCTCGAACTCCAGATCCACCTGCCTCTGCTTGCCAAGTACTGGAATTGAATGTGTACACCACAACCTGTCTGTTGATCTGCTTTATATAAAGAGTGATTAATGGAGTTATTAAAGAAGGCTTCTCATGCCTGCTACTGTTGTTTTTGTTAGGGTCTATGGCTCTTGTGGGAAATATTGTCGGGGACTGGGATTACTGAAGGCAAAGCTTTCATTAAGGAAAGATTCTAGGGTCTGGAAACATGGCTCAGTGGTTAAGAGTACTGGTGGCTTCTTTTCCAGTTCTGATGACATGGGTTCTTCTCCTTTCCACACCAGCATGGCAGCTTATAATTCCAGTTCTGGGGAGTTCCAGGCCCTTTTCTGGCTTCTACAGGCACCAGGCACATAAGTGGCATGCAGACATAAGTGCAGGCAAAACACCCATACACGTGAAAGTACTGAGTGGTGTTTTTAGGTAGAAACCATTTCATGACTAATATTTTCTCAGGATGAATGTGTTATACCAGCTCTGTTCATGCAGAATCATTGGTTTTTGAGTTTTCTGAACAAAATGTTGTAAATATTTTTCTACCTTGGAATTCCACCTTTCTTTGGGTTGCACTAGACCACTTGGATGTGGAAAGAAGCCCAGGAGGCATGGGTTTCTGAGGTCATCCCATCCCTGTCACTGACTCTGTGCCTCACACAAGACTTCCTCTGCTGCTCTCCTTGAGATGGGATGTGGGAGAGGGGTATTGTAACATTGAGGTGCCAGATACTTGCAAAGATGAAGATAAATGTTGGCTTGTGTATTGCTGTCACTGAGATCCTTTTTGTTTTTATTGTAGCCGTATTGGAGAGGGACTTGATCAGGCTCTTCCCTGTCTGACAGAGCTCATCCTCACCAATAACAGTCTAGTCGAACTGGTAAGTTAAATGGGAGAAGCTATATTTAAGGAGAAAGGTTAAGGATACTTCCTGCTTTGAAATGTTATCTCCTAGTTTCTCTTTGTGTTTTTTCATAATTATTTTACTATTCCAAACCTTTTGGTTGTGTTGGTTTTTGTTTCCCCCTGGGAATTGGTAAGGCATTTGGATAACATGTCAAAGATCTCTTTGCCCCCTCAGGTGTGCCATTTGTGTTCTGACTCTGTTGGGTGTCTGGGTAGGAACATTCCTGTGCAATCTTATTTATCTGTCACTATCATTAGTGCTTCTGATGTTCTGTCGAAACTTGCCTTTCCCTCCCATGTATAAATAGACTCCCATGTTGTGACGGGTTGAATGGTTGTACCTTAATGTTCTTAAGTGAGATGGACAGAACTAGAGAATATATGCCAGATTTCAGGTTTAGTATTAAAAATGAAGGTATAGACTTTCTTCGTGGCTTTTTATATGCACAGTGCATTGATATTTTAGGTAAGAGTTTAAATTTGCTTTTACCTGTTTTTCTATGTAAATATAGCTACTAGCTAGTTTTAAAATGCCCGAGTCTCATGAGATAGACCGTCAGTAAATCTCTTGCCACTTAAGCATGGTGTTCTAACTCCAGAGTCCATGTTTTAAAACTGGGCTTAGAGGCTCTAGTTTGCAGTTAGATTCATTCACCTATCTGGAGTTTTGTCAGTTTTAGAAATCTTACTACATACAAGTTTTAAATTTGCCAATATTATCCTGGGAGCTGGACCTTTTGTTTTGTTTTTTTTGTTTGTTTGTTTGTTTGTTTTTTGTAGGGGTTGTCTCTGTTAATACTGTTTGGTCTTGAGGTTTATGTAATGTAATATATAAGTTCAAACAAGCTTTTTTTGTTTAAATGCTTCCATGATAAATCTTTTCCATCCAGAACTTTCACTTTTGTTGTCTCTTAGGAACTTCATATGATAAGATTTCTCAAAAATGTTTATATTTATGTGTATAAGTTTTTGGCCTGCATTGTGTAAGCATGACCTTATATGTGCTGGGTGCCCACACAGCTCAGAAGAGCGTCAGATCCCCTAAAATTGGAGCTACAGATGACTGTGAGCCACCACATGGGTGCTGGGAATCAAACCTGGTTTCTGTGCAAGAACAAGAAATATTCTTAAATATTAAGCCATCTCTCCAGCTCCAATGATAGAATTTCTTTTAAGTCCAGTATTAAGCCTGTATTTTAAATACATTGCCTGTATGTTATTTACATTTATTAGTATTATTGCTATATCACAGTTTGTCTTTTGAGGGGTACTTCCTCTGTGTCACCTGATCTGTTTCTTTTTATTATGTACATGTGTGTATTGTCTATTTGTCATTTCATTTTTTCTTTCAGATGGTTTATATATTATTTGCTGTGTCTATTTCTATTCATAGCTAGCAATTTCAACAGTTTAAAGTCAACCAATACCTTTACCCTTCTCAACAATTATTTAATATAGTATTTTCATTCTTTGAGAATTTAATATCTGTGTACAATGAGTTTTGGTCATATTCATACGTTCCATACCTGCTTCCCACCTTCTCACAACTTAATTTCCTCCTCTTTTTGGTGACACGGGATCTTTCACAGAGCCTGCCTTTTCCTACTGTGTGTTGGGACTAAAGCCATATGCCCCCATGTCCCCCCACCCCCCTTAAAACCATCATGTCCTTTTTGTGCTGGCCATGTACTCTGGGATATGGAGCTGGGCCATCTACAGGAAAATGGTTGACCCTACCAGGAGCCACACCCTTCAAAAATACTGACTTTCCCTTCCCTCCCCCAGTTGCCTCAACTGTAAAAAATTCCTCTAGTAGAGGTGGGTGCTTGTGAGCTCCCTGCCTGTCCCCCACCCCCCAAGCCGGTCACCTTCAACTCAAGAATATTGACTGGCTTGGACCTGTGCAGATGACCACAGCTACTGTGAGTTCATGTGAGTAGTGGTCCTGCCATGTTCAGAAGATACTGTATTGCATGGTCTTCCCACCTTGGGCTCTTAGGGTCTTTCCCCTTGCCCTTCCTCTTCAACAGTCTGAGCCTTGCAGAGAAGAGCTGTGATAGAGATGTCCCACTGTGACTGAGCCCTCCAGAAACATGCATTTGCTACACTTTTGCCAGCTGTGAGCTTCTTAAAGTACTCTCCACTCCACAAAGAAACTTCTCTGATGAGGTCCAGAAGCTGCACTACTCATCTGTGGGGAAGAGATACATATTAGAGGGCAGTTTGATGCTATGTCCACTTAGCAGAATAACAGTAGTAGGGTGAACTCTAGGGCCTGTGAGCTGCCCAACCATGGGTTCTTAGCCAGACTTGTCCCAGGCATGCATTTCCTCCTGTGGAAGTAGGTCTAAGTTCAAACCAGAAAATGGTTGGTTATTATAACATTTATGCCACCACTGCACCCATGGGTCACTGCCACATGGTCGTTACTGAGCTGACAGCATTCACAGCTGGGTATGACGGTTTTGAACACTAGCCAGCTAGTAGGAAGCTTCCTGGTCAGTACCAAGTGATGAAAGTGTATGATGCCTTCACCAATAGGGTCTTGCCATCAAGTTTCTGGTAGGCAGCCTAGATCAGCTATTAGCCTATATTGTATTTTGAGACAGTCTCTTAACATGTCACCCAGGCTAACTTGCAACTCCATATGTAACTTAAGGTGACCTTGAACTCACTATAGTCTTCTTGCCTTAGCCTCCCAAATGCAGCGATTACAGACATGAGCCACATGTACCACATACAGCCAGGGTGTAGAAGGTCTCAGCAGGGCTTCTTTCTGGAGTCAGTGCCTTGAGTGATACATCGTGAAATCAAAAATTGAATGCTAGCTAAACCTCTTACTACTGAACTACAGGCCTAGCTATTCTTTTTCTTACATAGATATGTTTGTTATGTTTTTGCTCTTTTATTCTTTTCTCTTTTTGAGGGGCCTATCACCCAGCACCTAATATATACATAGAGGCTTATTATTTCTTAGTTATGAGTGTCCAGCCTTAGCTTGGCTTGTTTCTAACCAGGTTTTCTTATTTTAAATTAACCCATCTACCTTTTCTCTCAGTGCTTTTTATCTTTCTTTCTTCTGTGTGCCTTACTTTCCTTCCTGCTCCATGCCTGGCTGGGTGGCTGGGTGGCTGGCCCCTGACATCTATCCTTGTTCTCTTGCTCCTCCCTCATCCCTCATTTCTCCTATTTATACTGTCTACCTGCCAGTCCCACCTATCTGTCTGTCTCTGTGAGTCTGAGGCCACCTATTCTGTATCTCAGCCTCCCGAGTGCTGGGATAAAGACATGTGCCACCATGACTGGAGTCCATAATGTTTTGAACTATAGTATTCACCTTGTCTTTGAAAATAATTGAAGAGATGGGTGGGGTGGACTAAGATAACAGTGCCCTCTCTCAAAGATAATAAGCTCCCTGGGGCTATTTGGGATATACTAACAAGAAAGGACATTTTGTACCAGGTTCAGCAGCATATACCCATAATTCCAACACTTGGGAGGCTCAGGATTGAAGAACATCCTAGGCTACATAGCAAGTTCAGGAAATTCTGTCTCAAACAACAAAAACCCCACAAATAAACCAAGATCTTGGCTTGAGGTTCCTGTGTAAATAGCTTGCTCCAAGTAATCACCAAAGTTGACATTGGTTTCCTTTTGAATCATTGCTTAGTAGCCATTTTAAGATTGCTGTAGGAAATCAATTTTTTTTCTCCTATTGAAACAGGTGCTGTTACTACCAAGACTTAAAGAAGCTAGACTATATTCAGCAGTTAATTAGGTGGGAGATGTAGGCAGTTGTGTTGTATTAATATTGGACAAGGTGCCAGGGCAGCAAAAAAAGACTAAGTAAAAGATAGTGTGGACCCTGTTTTAAAGATATTCATCATTTCAGAATATCAGGATAGTAGTGTGTATATCAACTTTGTTCTTATTTTGACCCTTATTTTATAGGGTGATCTGGATCCTTTGGCATCTCTCAAATCACTGACATATCTTAGGTATGGAAATCGCTTGTTGTGATAACTTGACTATTAAAGTCCTGAGATAACACCGTCGGGCTGCTACTGTACTACACAGTAAAGTGGGAAGAATGGTGTGCTTCCACTGTTACAGTCATTACACTTTTCAGTGACCCTCTCAAATGGAATGCTGTGAGTAAGATTGGTACTGTCCCTTTTCTATAGCATCCTAAGAAATCCTGTAACAAATAAGAAGCATTACCGACTTTATGTGATCTACAAAGTTCCACAAGTCAGAGTGCTGGACTTTCAGAAAGTGAAACTCAAAGTGAGTATTGCATACTGGCTGAGTCATTACAGAATGGTCCTCTTCCTTATGCTTTCATGACTGAATAAAGTTACCTAATGAGTAAATTTTACCATTACTTTGAAAGCATTAAGTCACGGTTGTTTGTTGTTCTTGTGGAGGGGGGGCTTTTTTTGTTTTCATCTGATAGCAGTTTATGGTAGGGTGATATTGACCATTTCAAAGTTGGCCATATGTTAGAACTACACAGTGCTTTGTCTGCTTAGATATGTTCCCAACAAGGGCGTACATAACCCAGCTTTGAGCAGCTCTGCCTGTTAGAATGGCTGTTCTCTGTGCTGATTCTCTCTAGTTCCTTGGGAGTCCCACTTAGAAACTAGGAGGGGATACTTTTTGAGAGCTTTGCCCAAGAAGGTCAGACCACTGTGTGCCCTAATTTAAAGTTGGCTTTTGGTGTTTTTACCAACCCAGAATACTTCAGAAGAATTCTCTTCCATGTTTTCTAAGGAATGCATCTAAATGCATGTGGTATTCCTATTTTGATTAACTCTGTGTATGGTGTCGCTGTAGGAGCGTCAGGAAGCAGAGAAAATGTTCAAGGGCAAACGGGGTGCACAGCTTGCAAAGGATATTGCCAGGAGAAGCAAAACGTAAGATACGGATATCCAACTTAACTCTACTTCACCTTCAGAAACACTATCAGAAAACTGGCAGTTTGCCTCCTACAAAATTAAACCCCAAACTTGTTAGTGTGGTATTAACATTTGAATGATGGTATTTGACCATGCATGGTCTGTACATCACAGGGAAATTTCTACAGGTTAGCAAGCATATATTTCGGTTTACCATCTTAATGTGGTGTTAAACACCCTGCTTTCTCTATTGGAAGATAGATCGGGTGGTGTTTCTGAAGGAGAGAGTTCTTGTATCAGTTTGTTAACAAAGATAAGATACTACACTGGTTGAATTACTTTCAAAGCTTTTGAAAGTAAGAGAAGCAGCCTGCACTATTCAGAGTGTAACGATCATATTCTCCCTCCCAAGTTTTAATCCAGGTGCTGGTTTGCCAACTGACAAAAAGAAAGGTGGGCCATCTGCAGGGGATGTAGAAGCAATCAAGGTAAGGATGTGTTGTCAGACAGGAGATAGTAAAGATAGGACCTTGGTGTGCAGTGTTAGTTCCTCTGCTTCCCAAGTTTTGTTGGCTGACTTCTCCTATTGAAGTATCTGTAGAAAATCTTAAAGTTTCCAGTAATAGAATTCCAAACAGATGCTTGTGTTTTCTAGGTTGACTTTTTTTGCCAGTGAAATTCTTCTCCCACACAGCCATGTGATTGACTTTCTAGGGGAAAGTTGCTAGGAATTTCTGTAGTGTCTTTTGGGTTGTTGTAATCATCCATCTCCCTTTTCCTGTGTCTTTCAGAATGCCATAGCAAATGCGTCAACATTGGCTGAGGTTGAGAGGCTGAAAGGCTTGCTGCAGTCTGGCCAGATACCTGGCAGAGAGCGCAGATCAGGTCAGAAAGCTGTTCTGTGTGTACTTCAAAACATCACATTTGGAATGTTTACAGAGGAGTACCTGGCTGGCGTGATCACACAGGCCTTGAATCCTTGTATTTGGGAGGCTGAGGCAAGAGGAATAGGAGTTGAAGGTCATGCTTGGCAACAAAATAAGGTTGAGACCAGCTTGGGCTACAGGAGACCCTTTCTCCAAGAAAAAAAAAAAAAAGGATAGGGAGCAGTAAAGTGAAGCCATTGGGATATTTATGAGGTCTTTACAAGTTGTAGCAAAACATTCTATAACATGAAAAGAACAAAGTTCTAGAGATGATTGTAAACTTCTAAGTCACATGCTACATAATGGACAATGGGCCTTTTGGTGAACTGATACATTCCACATACAATAGTGACCCCATAAAGTAACAGCTTAAACATTGTCTGCCTGGTATTTTTACTACATGTAGTCTATGTTTACATGCCTGTAGATGCACAGGTACTTTGTTTTACAGTTGTCCATATTATTGAGAACAGTGACATATTGTCTAGTTTTATAATTGTCTTCACCAGATAGGTAGTTTAATACCATCTAGTTTGTATAAGTATGCTCTGTCATGTTCATATTCAGAAAAAAATTCCTGAAATATATATAGATCCCTGTAAAGCCTGGTAAGGCTGTATATGGTAATTTAGTGGTTAATGGCAGGGCTTCTCTCTGTAGCTCTGGTGTCTTGGAACTCACGCTGTAGACCAGGCTGGCCTCAACTCTGCCTCCCAAGTTCTGGGATTGAAGGTGTGCTACCACCACCCAGCAACCAAAAATCTTAAAAAACAAAACAATCTACCACAGATTATGGAGAACAGTTAACCTTTTGTGTGTTTGTGTGTTCATTCACTTTATTTTTAGTTAATGCATATGTGTCGGATGAGTGGACAGATATCCAAAATTGACATGGCTTCTGGTTTTGTGGTTCTTTCAGGGCCGAGTGATGATGGTGAAGAAGAGATGGAGGACACAGTCACAAATGGGTCCTGAGCTCTGTGACAGGTGGTCTAATGGGCTGTCTAGGGACAAGTCTTGCTTTTTGAGCATGGAGTAACAGCCTTGCTTGTATCAGCAACATGGGGTCTGTCCATGTTGCTGAATGTTCAGAACTACTGCTGATCATTTTTTAATATGAACCTTGGAATCTAAATGCCAGTTTTCTACAGATGTTAAAATAAAGGCCACTTTCTTGCTGCCAGATTGTCTATTGTTGTGTGTTTGCGGTGAAGTATAAGGACATGTTTAAGCTGGAAGTTGGGGAGTGTCTTAGAGTTTCTATTGCTGCAGCAAAACACCATGACCAAAAAGCAAGTTGGGGAGAAAAGGGTTCATTTGTCTTTCACTTGCACTTGCTGTCCTTCACTGAAGGAAGTGAGGACAGGAACTCAAACAGGGTAGGAACCTGGAGGCAGGAGCTGATGCAGAGGCCATGGTGCTGCTTACTGGCTTCCCAGAAGGACCAGCAGCCCAGGGAGGCACCAGCCACCTTGGGCTGGGCCCTCCCTGGCTGATCACTAATTGAGGAAATGCTTTATAGCTGGAACTCATGGAAAAATTTCCTCAACTAAGGCTCTATCCTATCTGATGTCTCTAGCCTATGTCAATTGACACAAAACTAGCCAGCACAGGGAGGATACTGTTTCTGAATGAACATTACTTCCGATTATGAAATGTTACAGTTCTTTGTAAAGGCAGTCAGGCTTAAGACTAGACAAATAGACATCCTTTGACCTTTTTAATTAAGCACACTTGAACATCTAACAAAGTGATTTGAAAAATTCTAAGTAGGAATTGTTGGTGCTATAACAGGCACAGGGTCATGACTTCTTTGTGGGGCACATTTCTCAGCATCTAGGTATCTTAACTGTATTCCTTATCTAGCAAAGAGTTTTTTTATTGTTAAATATTAGTGCCTTGGTTTCCCTACTCTGCCTTGATCCGTTGAGAAAAATGTCTCTCTCTGAGCCTGGAGCCAGCCAGTTCCAGCAGACCCACTTTTACCTGGGTGGTGGGGATTTGAACACAAGTACTCAAGCTTTCATAGCAAGCATTCTTGCCCACTGAATGATCTTCCCAGCCCCTGGTTACAGTTTTCCAAGCTTCTTTGGTAATTCTGAATGTGACAAGCATATTAAATACTCTCTAGATGCTTTTCATTGATAACTGATCTTGTAAGGCATTTATCAGATACCTGAGATGCGTTGGTCTTGGTGAAAAGAATGGCAGGAACAGTGAAATTAAGCCCCAGGCTTAAATTAAGTTTCCTTCCATTCTGGATTGAAGTCTGGTTTACTACCCCTACTGCTCCCATAGCCCTTCTGTTCATGCTTCAGCCCCTGTTGCTGATAAGACAGATGCTTCCCTCTTGGCTGAGACTGTGGCTTGATGACAGTTATGGTAAGACTGTGCAAGACCCTTAGCACCAAAGAAAAGAAATCGGACTCCCCTACTGCTCCCATAGCCCTTCTGTTCATGCTTCAGCCCCTGTTGCTGATAAGACAGATGCTTCCCTCTTGGCTGAGACTGTGGCTTGATGACAGTTATGGTAAGACTGTGCAAGACCCTTAGCACCAAAGAAAAGAAATCGGACTCCTGTTTTCCATAGCTTCTTTGAGTCCTTTTCCTGGGTGAGACTCTTAGTCAACAGTCCCAGTGATGACAAGCTGGTGTCCTGGGGTAACTTTTTTACTGTAGCTTTGGAGCCTGTCCTGGAACTCACCCTGTAGACCAGACCAGGCTACTAGCCTCGAACCCACAGAGATCTGCCTATCTCTGCCTCCGAGGGCTGGGATTAAAGGCATGTGCCACCACCACCCAGCAGCCTGAGGTAATTTGTAATTGCAAATTTTTTATTAAAAGTAGCTTGAGTTTGGTACCCAAGCCTGGGCTACACTACAGCATTAGAGAATGATGGAGACTGCTGAACTTAACAGAGCTGAGTCAGTATTTGAGGTTGGTGGGGAAAAAAGCAAAATCAACACATAGTTGTGTCATGTGCCATTGTCCTGATCAAGGACTTCACAAAGCTGGCTAGAGGCAAGAGAGGCTTTCTCTTCCATCTGTGTCTCAGGGCCCAAATTATTGATCAGGTTCACCCTAATGCATGTTGTTTTCCCTAGAACCTAACATTTTCAGTGAAGAGTTTCGTAGATCATGAGTTTCATTCAGGCTACTATTGTCCATGTTACAGCAGAAAATTGTAGCAGCCAATAGTCATGCAATACCTGCAAGAATTTGTTTGTAGGACTATACTGATTTGACATGATGTCTCTCGTTGCCCAGGCTGGCTTTCAACTAGCCACAGAGCTGAAACTGGCCTTGAACTCCTAATTCTACCACCACCTCCCAACAGCTGAGATTACAGGTATGTCACCATGCCTGACCTTAAATGTTATTGCTCTATATTTATATAATTGGTAAATGCCCTGGTTTGAGGACTTGACCTAATTGAATTAATGGATATCATTATAAGACTTGAAATAATGATTAACCCGACACTGAATTTACATGATAGAACTGATCTCCATACATATGCCTCTGTGTGTGTGTGGCGGGGGGGGGGGGGGGGGGGGGGACATAGGATCTCAAAGAGGACCTGGGTTTGTTCTTAGCACCAACACTGCAGTTCACAACCTTCTGGAACAGTTTCAGGGTATCCAACACCCTCTTCTGGCCTCCATGAACACTGCAAGTGTATGGTGAATGCATATACAGGCAAAACACTTTTTTTTAAAAAGAGTGTCCATAGAAAGAGGCAGGGCCTAATTCATGTTTGAACAGAACTGTCATTTTATTGCCTTCTCTGAGCTCTTGAGCTCCCCACACCCTTAGTCCTATGTAGTTGCTTCTTATCTTGTAAGCAAGTTTTGGCAGTTTACCAGCAGCTACTGCCACATCATCTACATATTTCCATATTTGACTCTGTTCTTTGCTTTTAATGTTTTTATTTCCTTATATTAATTGTATATAGTAATGTGTTTCATGACATTCCCATACATGCAGATAATGTATTTTATCTCACACACACACCTACAAACACCTGCTACCTTCCTTTGTCTTTAGAATTACTTCCCTCTCCTTAATTAGCCACTATCACGGTTAAATAAGGATCAGGATAAACAAATAGGCCGAATAGATGTTTATTCAGGGAGAAATAACTTACAACCTAGACAGATGAACACCAGGAAATTCAACCCGATCCTCTCCTGTCCAAGTCATGCCAGCAAGAGAGCTTTTCCTGGCTCTCTCTCCGACTTCCTTCCACAGGTCACTTCCACCCATCGCTCCACCCCCAATGGGCGTGGTCAGTGCCACAGAAGGACTATCTCACTACAATTCCCCTTTTAGTCTAAAGAAAAGATTTAGGCTTAATACAAAACTATATACAAAACAGTGAATAACAAATGTGCTCTAAGAAAAGGAAAATCGAGAACAAAATGACCTACATATCTAGTCCTAGGGTGAAGGCATAATGGAGATTATAATAGAGTTGTCCTAAGATGGAAAACGTAAGTCTAGTACCTAATATATCTAACTAGGAAGAGAGAATAATAGTTGTGATAGTTTAATCTTCAACCTCATCAACCTCATCAAGACCTGAGAAGGAAACTAACGATACTAGAGTAGACAGGAAGTGTGGATGGACAACAGCAAGGACAGAAACAGCAAGCCATCTGAACAGTCACCCTAGGACTAGATATGTAAAGAGGAGGAGCCAAGATGGTGGAGAGTCTGGAGAGAGCAGTACACAGCAGCCGGCTCTGGGTAAGAAGACCACATGGAAATACATAGATTAACACAAATGGGTTAATACTTAAGACAGAGCTAGCCGATAAGAAAGTAGTAACTGGCCAACAGTATAATATCTGTGCATTATTTGGGGCTGGCGGTGGGCGGAAAAACCGTACTCCTTACAAATGGTGCCCACGTGGCTATTAAGAACTTCCACTTAAAATTTAAGAAAAGCTTAAAAAAGGGTTTTAGAAACAAAAGAACAGAGACAAGCAAGGTTTCTTGGTAGCAGTATTTTTCTTGGTTGAATTCTGCTTTGCGAGAGACAAACAGAAATTCACACGGTTCCTTTAAGGGAAGGTTCCTGACTCAGCATAAGCGGCAAAAAACCGCACAGCTTTTAAGAAACTCTGCTAACAATTTATTGGTGTGTATGAGAGATGGCAATGGCAGTGACCACATCTTCAAGCCGGCAGCATGCTTTCTGGGTGGCAGTGCAGACCAAGGCGGTGAACACAGCTTTCCGTGCTGGCGGTAAAAGTACCCTCCACCATCTTTTATAAACCGTGGCAGAAACAATAAAGACTTTCATTTTAGCCATGTTGTTGTTTACCTGATAAAAGACTCGTGGCCAGAAAAAGACAAGGATTTGCAGTAAAGACAGATTCACATTAAGAAAAAGCGCTAAAAGTTTACAGTGTGTTTTAAAATATACGTAGACATGGAAAAAAATAAAATGGTTTTAAAGAGACAAAGAGGAACTGGGTGTGGTGGCACACACCTTTAATCCCAGCACTCGGGAGACAGAGGCAAGCAGATCTCTGTGATTTCAAAGTAAACCTGGTATGCAGAGTGAATTCCAGGACAGATAAGAGTTACACAGAGAAACCCTGTCTCAAAAAATAAAAAATAAAAAGTAAAAGAAACAGTAATAATAAAAACACGTAAAGATGAAAAAAGCTCAGAGAGATTCTGGTTACTGTATGGTATTATATTGTCTTTATATCGTTTGACTGCTGAGGAAACAACTGTTAAAGGAAATACTGCTGGATTAATTCAATTTATATATTTTAAAAATGCTTTGACTCCAAAATTTAAGTTCAAGGACAAGTTACTGGGGAAAAGGATTTCTATTTTTGTTTCCACAGAAAATGAAAAGCTGTGGATTCCTTCCAGACTAATATGGTTTGATCAAGCCAGACCCCCTGAAACAGAGTTCCAGGTGATCCTACATTCAAAACAGCTGAACAAAGCAGCCTTACAGACTACAGCCAGGATTTCTGCATCTTCTTAGAATCCCCCATGTCAGCGCCCCTTACGAGCAGGAAGTAGTTTGGAAAGAACAATGCCCAAATTCCCAAATATTGTTTATAAATGTTTGTTTTCATTTATATGGGGTTGGTTATAAATGGTTAATGATCACAACCAAAATATTTTTAAAGGTAAAAAAGGGATTATGGTATAGAT